AGAGAATTGCTTGTGGTGGCCGGCATAGTGCAGTAATCACAGGTTAGCACTGAGTTCAGTTTTAGTACTTCTGCTGACCACATAGGGTACAATATCTTTTAATAAGGACACTTTTCAAATTTAAGTTTCACATTGTGAGAAGAAAAGAAGAAATGTTTTTGGAAATATGTTTAAGTTTTTCAAGTTTGAATGGCTTTGAGTTACTCCGTTTACAACAAAGTCAGACTCCATCTCAAATCATTGTCTTTACTTGTTGCTCCTTGAAGTTAAAATGATACTTCATCCTCGATTATCTTGCTGCTCACCTGGGTATTTGTTTCAATTGTCAGATGCTGGGGTGCTGCTTACATTTGGCTGGGGATTGTATGGGCAGGTGAGTGTTTATATCATCACACTTCAAATGTGATGCATGTCTTGTCCTCTTATCCATAAAAGAACGCTTCACATGCTATTCTCTACAATTTCAGAATTAATAAGATTGATTAATCTTGAGCAAGGAAATATGATAGCCAGGTCGAATCTTGCTTATAGCGTTGATATATGTTTTGTTGCCGGAATAGAAAGTCCACCACTTGATATCATTTTTTTTTCAAACAAGCAGACAATTGTAATCTTGTTAGAAATTGATCTAAAACACCAGAAAATATACACCTGCAATATCAACTTGGTGTGCCTGGTTCACTGTTCACTGCTTTTCTTTATAAGTCCTCTAGTCTCATTCGTTGTATTCAGTGTGGACTAGGTAATACAAACGACGTGCTGAGGCCAACTTGTGTCTCTTCTCTATTGAACACTAGAATAGAAGCCGTGGCAGGTGGACTATGGCATTCTGTGTGCTTATGTGATCATGGCCGTGTGTATACTTTTGGGGGAAATCAGTTTGGCCAATTGGGTCTAGGTACAGGCGCGGACCATGCAGAGGTGCGTCCAAGATTTATCACTTGTTTTGTGTCTTTCTAATAAACTCTTGTTTATGGACTCAACAGTTTCAATGTCCAATAGTAATATCTAGTTGAGGCTGAATTATGATGTCATCTAAGAGTTTGGCTAGTCGTACCATGAGATGTGCCCAGAAGTAGGATTTGTTGAAATCACAGTCCAGAAACTTCTAACCACGCAGTGTGGCTTAAGTATACCTAGCACTGAGAGAGAGTATGTCTAATCTGTACAGCATATAGTAC